TGTCGGTTTTGACATTCCATAGAGGTATTTCTGATAAGCACTCAGTCCCTCCTAAAATTTAGCGTTATGCACATTTGATCACAATGGTTGATCAAAAGTATTATTTCTTTAAAGTTCAATGATCAGATAAAAGTTGATCAAAAAAAATTTGGCTTTAAGCACAATTAACAAAAGAATGAAGCGACAACGATTCGATTATTCGGTATGTATGAGAGAAATGAATGAAGATCTGTAAGAACAAGTTTACATATTCTGATATTCAAAAAAAATGAATGTATATGAATCAATGTAAAAAAATATCAGAAAACAAAATTTGAATACAAACGAGTGTATTATCACCGAAAAAGATTTTCATATAAGGGACGTGATAATAACAGTTTGAAGAATAGCTGAAACAGGTATTGGAGTTATGTACGATGAGAAATTACGCAAGTAAAATCTCAAGAAATACCTGTTCAGAGAATGTACTCGTTTCAGAAAACAGTTCCATTTTCAAAAACATTTATTCAAAAAATTCTAGAGAACTCCCCCTAGAAAGTAGATTTAAGTAATGAATCAGTTAAGCTAAAAAAAAGAAAATTGAAACATTTTAAGTATGGGTTCTAAACTGAGTGTTTAGAAACCACACTCGGTAAAGCACGGGTCCTGAACTGAAATGTTTAGAAGCCTCGGTCGGTTAAGCACGGGTTCTGAACTGATATATTCAGAAGCCTCAATTAGAATAAATCACAACTCCCCCTGCATTGGTGTATCACTGAAATAATATTCTGATCAGCACAAAATTGACACACCTGCAAAATCAGATCATGTAGATTTTGGTACCCAAACAAACTTGGGTCCTATTTTGTTAGTATCTGGTTGAGGTATGTTGTAATTACCAAACCTTTTATTTCGATAAGGTATTTTCTTTTCAGCACTATGAACAGGATGATTATATACAAGATATGATTCATGCCAGTTATTATAATCATACTTGTTCTTACCTTTYCAGTTATTCTGATAACTGTTATCTCCATACCATCTGTTGAACCTTTTGTTATTGACAAAATTATTGGTTCTGCATGTTGAGCACATAATCCTTCTCTTGCTAAGATTGATCAGATCATTAGTGGATTTCACAAGACAAGGAAGATTGTTAGTAACAACAGGTGTATGAGATAAAACAGATTCAGACTTATTAACCCAAAT